ACCCATCACTCAACCTAGCTGTTTGAGTAGAATAGCTTCCTCTGAACGTAATAGCGTACGTAAAGTTTCGCAGCACCCCAAACAAAGTGTGCCCCGTTACACCTGGTAGCACTTCGTAGTCCGTCCAAGGACTATTTAAGTGTCCGTCCAACATGAACATGTTGACGTAGAAGACGACAGCTTTCACGTCACACGTAAAGGCTACTCCCATCTGAGCGACTCAGAATGGGAGGTAGTCGGTCGCATGAGTGTGCTTATGGGCGAACCCGCCATCAGTGATATGTTGGAGTCTTCAAACAGATACCAGCAACATGCTGCTATCAGCAAGTTCCCACAAGGAGAACTTGCCGTCGAACGACAGAAGATAGCCTTGCTACAGCAGCAAGGCACTCATCAGTTGATGAGCGGGCCGACGCACATGCGTCGAACCGAAACCTTGAAGATTGATATCTCAAGGCACAAGGGAACCGATGAAGATTCCTTTTTGAGATGGTTCGTCGAGCTAAACGATGCAATCAGGGCCCGTCACATCGAGGGTGACGAGACGCAAGTCATCTTCGCCCTATCAAATTTGACGGGACGAGCAAAGACTTGGACCTTAGGGCTCAAGCTTCACGACCCAAACGTGTTTGAGTCGCTGGAGATCTTGAAGTCTCGGCTAAAAGAGATGTTTGAGCCGCCGAGAGCCGATTTCAGAGCACGCTCTGTACTCTTGAGGCTAAAGCAAGGTAAGACTGACGTGCACGCTTACGAATAGCACCTGCGCTACCTTGAGAGTAGCGTTACGGAGAAACCTATTGATGAGCACACGCTCATCAACGTGCTCATCTACGGCCTTGTGGATGGACCGGTGAAGACCTACATGTTCCGAGAGGACTTCCATACGCTGGAAAGGGCGATAGCGTATGCGGAACAAGATCACTTCAGCCTGATGCAGTCTCAGGCTAACTCGTCAAACTATCATCCGACGAGGCGACAGAAAACAGGAGGTCCCGAACCAGTGGACCTCTGTTACATCGAGAGCGAGAAATCTCGCTCTCTGAGTCACAAGCGAACGGCAAGATGCCATCGCTGTCAGAAGATTGGACACTATGCTCATAAGTGTAGTGTCCCCAGCACCGCATCACGTCCAAAGACAAGATGTGATGACCGCCGTTGGCCGAAGAAAGGTCTAAGGCACGGATCCGAACATGTCGCTGAATCGCGACAGCAAGTCGGACCGCCAGAAAATGGCCAGGGTCAGTAGGGGTAGATCACCCTGCTGATCCATCAAATTCAAATTTTTTGCAGGACTCTTGACAAAGATTGCTCTTAGCATGCAGTCTCTGTGTGTTACTGCCCATAGTGATGAGGTGTTCCTCATCACTTTAAAGATAGAAGTGACAAGTGGAATGTCACATCGCGCCCTAGTTGACTGTGGGGTGTCGAACAGTTTTATTCAACGCCAGTAGCTAGAAGATAGTAGACTCAACTATGTTGAGCGAGAGTTCCTTCCAACGAGGATGACGGTGTGCCTTGCAACAGGCGCATCCGTAACAGGGAAGAAGCGTATAGTGGGAATCCACTACACGCTTGAAGGAAAACAATACGATGATGACTTCATCGTACTCGATTTGGATGACAAATTTGACTTCATCCTTGGTCTGCCATGGCTTAGAAAATACCAACCATGGGTTGGCTGGCAGCATCGATCCGTGAAGATGCCTGCAGTTTGTTCATCGGATTGCCATCTGATGAACGTCTTGGAGTGTCCACAAGCGTGTGGATGTACTACGAGTGAGTGCGATGGACTCACTTGTGGTACGGTCGTTAGTACGACTACACAAGATAACAGTGTAGAAGAACACTAAACTGTGGGACCAGCTTCCGGCACTTGTGTAGGGCCACAGGCTGCGCCGAAGGTTCGCCACTTAAAGAGATCGAGTGGACTGGAACACGGATGCACACCAAGAAGGGTGCATCCAAGAAGAGATGTTAGTGTTGTTCAGGATTGACAACACGTTGAAGCAAGATAGACAATCAGAGAGTCGATCGTAGAGCAAGTACGCTCGACTGAAAGAGAGTCAATCGAAGAGGACGTGACCGTGACAGTAAACGTAACGGAAGAAAATTCCGGCGTTCCTGAGAGCAATAACCTTCGATAGAGTTATGTTGAGGGTGTGGATCCCCAACCACCTGCGGCTGTGTTTTCCCAGGAAGTCAACGAGTCAGTTAATGTCTTGGGGAATAACGGATCAAGTTTAGGCATTCATACACTTGATCTGGTGACGCCCCCGAAGTCAGATTCGGAGGTGGTCAAGTTGCCAACGCTAGAATCTAAAAGATTCTTGCGAGATCTGCGTAGTGACAAGATCAAGCAGATCTGCGTACTCGTCACAGAGGACGAGTACGTCGCCGATATTCGGTCGGCAAGGTGTTTACTGAGAACGAACGGGTTTCCAGTAGCTCATCTATGGGCAAAAGTTTCCTCGAGAATACGACCAGGGTTGAGCGATACAATTTATAATCTTGGGAGTTTTTTAATACAACTCCTGTGTATAAGGATTTGGTCAAATTCAGGGATGTTTTCCCTGAATCCGTGCCATGCAAGTTACCTAGATACAAAGACACTCGGCATGAGATCGAACTGAAACCTGGTTCGAAATACTGCGTCATGAATCAGTGGCCACTGCCTCGCGAAAGGGTCATAGCAATCGACAAATGCTTTGCCGATCATTTACCAGTTGGTCATGTGAGAGAACCAACATCCTCACACAGCTCTCCGACCTTCTGTGTGCGAAAGGCCAAAAGAGGGTGGCGGATATTGCACGCGCTCAACAAATTAAATGCCTAACGGTACCGGCTTAAACGTTAATACCAAGGAAGGACGTCATCGTAGATGGCATGGCTAAAAGTAATTTATTTTCGTCCATGGATCTGATGGATGGAGTTTTTCAGATCCTTATGCGTGAACGGGACATCCCGTACACAGCAGCGAGCACCCCCAGTGGTATGATCTGGGAGTGGCTAGTGATGCCACAGGGGCTAATCAACGCCCTCCATCGCTCAACAGATGTGTTACGAATCTGTTTCGATCGGTGCGATACTTCGCACCAAGTTACTGTGACGACGTCTTCGTCCGCAGCCGGGCGATGGATAGAAAGACGTACGTGTAGGCTCATCGAATCCACGTCCGGAAGGTTCTTGCACTTATTCGTGAGCATAAGTTGTTCGCAAACCTCAAGAAGTGCATATTCGCATCGAGCGAGAAACCACTTCTTGGCGGGATCGTGGGTAAAAACGGTGTATGCCCTGATCCGGAAAAAATAAAGGTGATTAGCGACTAGACTGTGTCAGTCGACGTCAAGGGATTTCGAAAGTCTCTTGGCTTAGCGGCGTACTTGCATAAGTACTCGCGATTCTACGCCGAGATGACCGTAGATCTCTCTCGTCTGTTAAAGAAAACGAGAGGTGGTCATGGAGCGCTGAGTGTCAGCACCCCTCATATTGTATCAAGAAAAGCTTGATACAATCGCCTTTGTTGGCGATTGCAGACCAGGACAGACCATTCCATGTGGTCTGTGACGCCAGCGATTTTGCAACCGGCTGTGCGTTAATGTAGTACGAATCAGACGGCGTTAAGTGCGTCGTCTGCTATCAATCGCGTCAGCTGCAAGCAGCGGAGCATAGATACCCAGTGCATGACAAGGAACTCTTTCCCGTAAATGTGCACAGGCTAAGTCTTGGGTAAATCTTTTCGAAGATGGGACCGTCATCGTTACACCGACCATGCGTCGTTAGGCACGGCCATAAACAGTCCACACCTCTTGCAACGAACGGCGAGGTAGCTGTCTTTCTTCGCAGAGTACAACTTCTCCGTCGAGTGTAAACCAGGACGACTTAACGTCGTCGCTGATGGTCTACCGCGTCGGCCCGATTTCGAGCCGACTGCTCACCCCAACAGTAGGGGTGAACCCACTGTTGCAACACTATCAGTGAGTGTTCCGTCGTCAAATCTGCTTGACGACATGCGAGAAGCATATGCAGAAGATAAGTCTCTTCTGCGATTAATAGATTATGTATCTAATTCATGCGTTCAAGCTATGAAAAGCTTGACGTCTCAACACCGCTCTTCAACCGAACGGTTTTCTGTTCGTGACAAGCTGCTGTAATATACTGCAGTCAACCACGACACGCCTCTTTTCGTCGTTCCGGCTCATAATGATTTGTGATTGCGCATCATGTGTAAATGTCACGATGCCCCAACAAGTGGGCATCGCGATAGAGAAAAGACTTACCTCACGGTAAGTCGTGACTTCTACTGGCCCCGCCAGTATGAGTTTGTGCGCAAATACATTCGCACTTGAGAAGTTTGTCAACAAGTTAAGCCTAGTCCTTCATCCCGTGCACCCTTGCAGCCTCTACCGATTCCTGCAGAGTGCTGGTACTCCGTATCGATGGACCTCATCTTAGCGTTTCCAAAGACGCTCAAAGAATGCTGGTATTCTTTTGTGTTTGTTAATCGGTTTAGCAAGATGGTACATCTTGTTGATGTACCGGAGTCGATCACAGCCTAGGGCTGTGCTCGTCTCTTCGTCAATACAATCTACCGAATCCACGGGTTTTCCGTGAGATGGTGTCTGACAAGGCCCTCGCTTATTAGCGGAGTTCTGGCAATCCGTGTTCCGTTCACTTGAAAACACGTTTGACGATGTCAACTTCTGACCATCCAGAAACAGATGGTTAGACGGAGCGCGTTAACCGCGTCCTCGAAGAGAGTCTTCGGGGGTACGTCCACTCGTTTAAGAGTTGGAGTGATTTCTTGCCCATGGTAGAGTTTGCCATTAACAACTCGGTGCAAGCGTCCACGACACACACACCGTTTTATGTGAATGGCTTGCGCCATCCGCGTGTACCCACCTTACTATTGTGTAACTATGGTTTAAGAAGGGGATGAGACTCGCTCGAGCAAAAACCGGTCTGGTTCTTGCTGATCACCCGTCGACAATGGTGTCGACGTGATGGATGCCGGTGTCGATGGGATCGAGATCGATGATGACGATGACGACGATGTTGGCATATTCAGCATCGCCAATGACCGCCAAAGTGAGGACGATGACACCCTCACTGGTGAAAACAACGTTCTCTCTGCGGATCACATGAAGAGCACTGCTGTTGACAAGGATGAATTAGCAGAAGAAAATCTGCTGACTCGCGAAGCGGCTGTCCGCTTCGTTCAAGACTCTATTGCAGATGCACTCGACAGACAAAAAAGAAGCGCAGAAACACATGGAAGAGACATGTTGTTTCATTTTATGAAGGAGACCTAATTTTACTATCTACAGTAAACTTACCGAAGCACACAGTGACATACGTGGGCACCAGTAATTTACTGCCCATGTACATCGGTCCATTTCTTGTATTTCGCCGAATGGGCTACGCATACACGATTACCGTGCCTTGTAGGATGTGTATGCACCCTACGTTTTGTGTCGGCCGTCTTCATCCGTACTATCAGTACGAGCCCGTTTCGAGATGCGAAGAACCCCTATACGGTCGAGGGCCGAGACCACCTCGAGTAGTCCCGTTTCAACGAACCAGTCTGGTCGACTAGCAAAGCGACCTGTTCACACAGCTCAGCGATGTCTCGACGCGCTACAGCCAGCTCATCACGAAGAGAACGAGTCGAGCGTTCGTTCTCAAGTTGCGCGAATGCAAAAGCGGCACGATCGTCCGAGCGATCGTGCGTTAGGGAATTGTAATAATCCCTCACAAGATCCTTAAGCCCATAACGCCGAGATCGTTCATGATCCAGATCATGATACAACTGTTCCGTTAGATGGTTCAGCTCTTGAACATCTAGTTGATCCGACCCTCGAGCCGAATCAGGTGTTCCCACCGTTACCACATCCTTTGGTGGATTCTGGTAGTGATCAACGCTTCCTAGTGGAGCGTACCTTGAACCACCGCAATGTTAATGGCATCCGGACGAGTTACCTCGTCCGCCGGCGTGGCTATCCACCGGCGTGGGACAGCTGGAAGCCTCGTGCCCAGCTGATTGTTGATGCCCTTGGTCTCGTCGAGCTGGACGACGAGACCCACTCGCTGCGTTTGAAGAAGGGCCATCGGAAAACGACCTCCCTGAACGCGAATACAGGGATTGCAAAGTATCAATCCCTTCGGTCATCTCAGAAGAGATGCGCGCCCTCCAGTAGGGATCATTAGGGAGGCAGGCCTCCCTAGGGGCACGGTTCGAGTTGTCCAGGTAACCTGGACACGAACTACTCCACGAGAGACCGGGTAATCCTGCCTCTATTGACAGCCGGTGCAACTTGTATCACGCCCCGACTGGGTTGCGTTTCTCTTACCTGATGCGAGCTGCATCAAGTTTGGCGAGCCAAGCCTCACGGCCAATACACTCGATGTTGTGAATTAGGGCATTCCATCCCTGCACCAAATCTTCACCGTCTCGTCCACGGTTGCCGTTGTACCACCGATGTTAAAAAAATATCGGTGTAGAATAGTTCCTCAGCATGAATAGTTTCCGTGCTGGAATCAGGTGGCAAATCTTCCTGCAATCGAACAACGGGATTCGATCTCGTTCGGTATTCGTGCCGGCCAACCGGTCCAACTCCTTGGATGGCGGCATCCACGAAGACTCCATTTTAGGAGCGTGGTTCAGTACATTTCGGTCCCTGTCCTCTTAAGTGGTGTCAGCACGAGCACTGACACCAGTAGCAGCTCGATCTCTCGAGTTACTTCGCACGTGGTGATGCATATGTGAATCACCACCACCTTCAGGCGTCCTATCGTTGGATGTACTTGGCTGAGGCGGAGAATCATCAGAATAATCACTCGATCCGAAGATCTCGAGCATGATGCCGCCACGTTGACCAGATACAGTCAACCTGGCTCTTGCCGTGTCCGCCCTGGGTGATCCCGAGGCGTGAGGAGTCGCCTTCGAGTCGGATTCATCATCCGACTCGCCAGAATAGATTAGCTCTATCTCAGACTCGTCTTGATTACGACTCGCAGTACCCGCTGCAGACGCAACGGATGTACCTGTTGCATGTGGTGACTCACCACGTGGAGGATTCACGACAACAGGCGACGACTCGCCTACTGCTGGGGCGTGAGAGGCACTATTCGCGGCTGCACGCATGCGTGCAGCTGCCCTTCTTGCTGCTGCAGTAGCAGCTCGCGTGGTTTTGGAAACCATGCGTTGGATTGGCAAATGAATGGAATTTGACCAACAAGTGCTCCCTTTTCCAGATTGATCCAACGGTGGTCACCCTGTCCCAATCAAGTCTATTTCAATCATCGGTTTTTGATGGTTTAGGGGAGGGGGATAAGTAACGGGGTAGCCCGTTGCATTAAATTGACACCGAACGGTGCCAGTAGGATTACTGTCTAGCATGACGATATCCTACCGGTATTATCCGAGATAGATAATGTTGAAGGAATTTTATCCCCTTTTTTAGAATATTATTCATTCGCTGCTCCAAGATTGGTTGATATTAGACGTATCAACCATAGATAGCCACCAATCGCCGCTAGACGCGCGCAATGAGTGGTGAGCAAATTGTCGTCATACGACGACGTAGTTTAACATAGTTTGATAAAGATTATAGTTATGTTGATAGCTTAAATATTTTAAATAGAGTTCTCTTTTTACCTTTACTTGACTGAAGTCGTTCAAGTAGATTAGCTTCCTCTGCACGTACTAGTGTACGTGAAGTTTCGCGCACCCAGACATAAGGGTGCCCCGTTACAGGTGCGGTCGGCCCTCACTGACCATCTCCTAAACTATGATGACCCCCCTCGTTTTTGCGAGCGCTGCCGAGCAACAGCAACTTAGGCGTTGGTTACCTTTTGTTCTTCGACGGTGGATCGTGTGGAAATCCCGGACCAGGTGGGGCCGGATCCGTCATCGTCAAATTGCACTCTCGACGCACGCCGTTTGCATCATGTGAGTGGCGAGCACGTCCTACAGCTATACTCATACTACCAACAGTGTCGCGAAATAACCGGGGGCTAGTCACCGGTTTCCGCCAAGCGAAAGCTAGCGGCTACTCGCCTTTGCATATCGTTTAGGACGGTGCGCTCGTGCTATTTCAGCTTCGTACCCATTAACCCCTTTGCAAGCCACACCTAAATTGCCTTTTTGGGAGGCACGAGCTTCAGCAGACAAAATTGACGTCGCCAGATGGAACCATCACTACCGCGACTACAACAAGATGGCAAACAGACTGGTCAATCTCGCGATGGATTCGTGTGCCCCATTCAAGTGCTCGCTTCCTCGGGGCACCGTATCGTCTCAGAAGCCGCGGCCTCTGGCACAATGATGTTAATCACTGGCTGGAAACTTCCAAGCCGATCTTACCGAAATACAGAGCAGCGCAACACCTATGAGCGATCTAAAAATCTCGAGACAACACGTTGCGCAGCGCCGCATGGACGTCCATAGACAACTTCTACCCTAGTATATAAAAGTAGATGTCTACACGGTACTATTGTTTTCTATAACGTGGCACCCTGAAGCTTGTACTGATGACAGTACAAGCTACTTATTCTGACGACAGAATTAAGCGGTGTTTCGGAGCTTCACGTACACTGGTCCGTGCAGAGGAAGACGGTAAGAAGAAGCGAGTACTTGGTTAAAGTAAAAAGTAGAACTGTATTTAGTATAGTTAATGTCTGTAATAAATCACTATTTATCGTCATCTAACTGTGTCTAAATACAAATGTGTATATCAACTATCTGCTCACCACTTATTGCGTGCGTCTGTCGTGGCGCGTCTTCGTTGGTTGATATAATGGCCTATATCAACCAATTAGGAACTACTCGTAAGTGCTGCAGAATATTTGTCCTTATGACAACATTCTGAGAATATAACTCTATTAGATAACTTCTATTAACAATTTCTTATAAATTGTTATAAAACGATTCACCCCGTTACACCCTTGTCGCGCAGTCGGTTCTATTCTTAACGCAGCCGCCGCGAAAGTATATGCTTGAGCTGTTTGCGTTGCGGAAGCCATCGTTGTTAGCCAGCCTAAAGCTGCACGACCCGCGTGAGCACGGAATGTGCGCCAAAGTGTACAATAGATCCACTGTTTAAGGATCAGCCCTATCTCACGCTAACATCGATAAGACGGGAGTTGCCTCGCCAGAATTGCCCGCGTCGAAGTGTGATAGCGATGTATCGTCGCAATTACGTGTCCAGTCATGATGAAGACGAATCTTTAATTAGTATGCAATTGAGGCCTCTGGCTTTAAATTACGTTGGACCAGCGAAGAAAGGTTGTAGAGCAGCGCTGGACAGATAGATTCCAAGTGTCTTCGTTTCGCCATCGATTGGGTAGCCGCATCTCGCGTGGGTGAAAATCTTACAACCCCACGTTGCACCATACTCCAAGAAAGTATGTCGCCCAGGTTAGTCTGATCCGTCACAAATGCAACACCTTTCAGCTCGCAGAATTTGCCCCTATGATCTTGCAGCCACGACAAACTTTTCATCGAAGCGTGGACAAGCCATCTGGTGTCAAACCGACCCGAAGATGCAAATTTGGCCTGTATTCCAGCTCACATCTTGTCATTAAGCGCTCGTCGGATATCAATTAAGTCGCTTTCGTCGTCCTTGTGATTGAACCCGGCTTTCGACTTGAAGAATTCGGCCCGACGGCAGACTTCCTTTACTTCGCCTTTGCGGGCATGTCGAGCGGCTGAGAGACCAGTAATTTTAGAATCAGTCAACCAGGAAGATGACCTGTATCTTGGATACGTGTTTTCGGTCCAACACGGCGTGATGTAAGCCGAGCCTGACCCGGGAGAACCCCACAGGACGTCTGAAACCAGCAATTCCCTCGTAGAAACCGTAGCTGTCCACTGCCCAACGCTGTCGCCGCCGTTGTCAGTAGTTTCGTTTGAATACACAGCATTCGAAGGCCGCCTTGCTGTATCAAAAATGCAGCCATCTCGGCGGGCACCCAAGGTCGGGATCGTTTTCCATCTCGGGTACCCATACAAATTCCATGACCAATCCATGCAGCCGGATGACAATGGCAGGATGAGTCCAGCAATAACAAGCTGGATAGGTAATTTTGGGCACCGCAATGGCACTGGCTAGGCGGGCCCGCTGCTCAACGGTGTGAGTCTTCTCTCTGACCAGAACGCGTCGACACCGAAAGGATTGTATACATTTCGTCCAATATTCGTCCACCGCTTCCTGTTTCCCTACCAACACACCGAGGTATCGGCATGACTAGCTGGAGGCTAAAAGAGTGAGGTCATGGGTGTCGAGAGGTAAGGCCAATCCGCGAGGATCTAGCTTGATAACTGTAGACTTAGCTCAACTCGTATCAAGACTTGAGACCCTTGCGAATTCCCCCAAATTAGAAACAACAAGCTTCACCGCTGTCCGATCTCGCAGGTATGCTGCTGTGTCGTTGGTATAGCCTGAAACCTTCATTATAGTCGTCCGGCCGCCTGAGGTGAGAGGCACGCTGCGAACTTCCATCCTTTCTTAAACCACCCGATATACACCTTTGAGAGCCAGTGTGAAGATTATTGGTGCGAGGGAACACCCTTGTCGACTCCCACAGCAAACCATTTGGCTACTGGAGCGGTGGCCGTTCACAATAAATCAGCAAGTCGTGCCTTGATGTAATGCGTCCGCAACCGATGTGAACCGCGAGGAGAAGCCTAGCCATGCCAGCACCGAGATCAAAAATGGACGTTGTAGTGTGTCGTAGGCCTAAGCGAATTCAAGAAGCAGTACGGTGTAACCCTGCCGATTGGGGCCACCATTCGCGGTTCTTCGGACTGCAGCAAACATCTGACGCGCCGTATGGATGGAACGCTTTGAAACAAAACCAGCTTGGGCCGGCAGAACGGTCTGTGATAGCGAACCGAACCCGAAACGAACTGTTATCTCGAACCCGAACCCGAAACGACATGTTATCCTGGTAAATAACTTGTAGTCGCTGTTGAGCTGCACGATAGGACGATGGTCCAGCGGCAAGGCTGAAGCCGCAGTTTTCCTTAAGCACTGTATATTTTCTCTCCAACCACGCTAAAAACACGCTGCAATCAAATCATCTGGTGTACAGCGCTGCGAGAATAGGCGTTATCGCATCGGAGTAATTGCGGTAAAAAGTGTTGCTGATTTCGTCTGGCCCTGGTGCCTTTCCACGATTGAGTCTTTTCAAAGCCGCACCCACGTCATCCGAGAAGATTGTTTCCGTATCAGATGAATCGTCAATTCGATGTGGCCGCGAAGCCTGACCACGAAATGCGGCGGCTGAATCGGGGCACTCGAAAGAACGAGTTATCATAGACTCCCACCCGTCTGTCATCTCTTCATCCAGTTCCTGAGACCGATTCGGTGCGGAGGACGCTTTACCACCCAGGGACACAATTGTGTTGTCCCAAGACAATTTGTCATTTAGGCGTAAAATCTGCGGGAAGTCTCGCCCAGGCAGTCCCTGTGTCGGGCATGAAGACGCTCTTTCTTGGTTCTTTGCCATGACCGGCGACACTCTGCCACATACCGACGAATTTTATCTGGTTTATCGCCAGCAACAGATTGTTCGCTGCTCCCGTGAACCCCCCCCCCCGGAAGAGATATTCGAAAAGCGCGCCACGAGGAGTGCCGCACCGAGCCGGACCGATAAGCGACGCAGTCGCTGCTGATAACGTCGCGTCAAAATTTGACGGTATTGCTTGGTAATACCCAAAAAGGCTTGACGTAAACGTATCTTCTAACAATCTCACCAATTCGCAAGTTTGCGGGCCGTGTCATAGCTCGCTGTCGAATCAAATCGGACTCCTCAATTACACTCTTTGCCGTCTCTAGCGAAGCAAAAATTGCTCGGTTTGCGTCATCTTTCGTACATCCATGGACAGGTACACTCGCCGTGGCTTGTTCATGCGCACAACACGACGTGGCGACCCAATACGAATAGTCCTTCCATTGTGGTCCGATGTGGCCCTGGAACTGAGAGGACGACGTCACGAATCCAGTCAGCATGTATAGCAATTACGTACCACCGAACAAGCCGAGAAATGGAGGAGCCACTCCCCCGGGAGAGTGTAAATTAGGTGTGCACTGCAGCATGTAATGTTGAAAGCTCGCGCTCTTCCTCCGCTTGCTCTATCTCATCTTCAAAGACACCTCTCATCTGTGCACGAGCGAGGTGCCGATGCAGCGCCTATAAATCTTGTTTGCTAGCAGGAGTAACGAAGGAACAATCCAGATGAGGGAACAAGGAGCAGTTAAGTCCCCTTCCATCAGCATCGGACCGGTTTGTATCCGTAGGTGGTGAAGCAATCCGAACTAGGCCTTCCTTTCGCTGTTGTCGTTTGGAGCATATACATTGACTAAGAGTACCTCTTCTCTCATGAGCGTAACGCTTGCGGCCATCCAATGTGATGTCTAATGCTTCTCGTGTCAAGGCTCCATCTCAGTAGTCGACGAATATGGGTTTAGAAGGATAGCTACCCTTGCACGCGCCACGTATGACTTAGCCCACATAGTGTGACCTGGTTACGCAACGAAGCCCTACGTGGTGCTGTAAAACCTGTCCACAGTGACGCTTCTCCTTGATTGACCCGCGTTTCCTGAAGAAGATCCAAATCAATCGCACTCGCTCTCCGTGTGACTAAAATGTACGAACAATTTGGCACATCGCTCAGGTTGCTTAGGAAATACGGCGAAATTTTGCGAATGTAACCGAGGCTTTTTTTTGCGTGTCCGCCGGGCAGCCCTCGGCATCATACGCCGTAGGCGATGAAGTGGTCGGGGCAGATTATCAATCCCATCTTTTAAACGAGGTCGATCGATAAAAACGGAAGAAGACGAAAGCTGAGCCACCCGATCTGACGAGTCAGCCTTTAAACAAACCGCGGTGATCTTGGTATCGAGAGGCCGGTATCAGACCGTCGCAGGCAATAAGCTTAAACGCCGGCTGCCAATTGGCAGATATCAATAGGACTCCAAGGATTGTTGCACGCACTTCTTCGGATTGGTTATAGAGCATAGCCTTGGTCTGTGGCATCACAACCTTGGTATCTTCTTCCACAGGCGCAAGCGCCGGTAATAAATTACATAGAAAGTTTAGAACGCACCAGTGATCCAAGTCGGGAATAGGGTCGACGACAGCTGCACGTAACAACTCCGGCTGTAGTTTGCCAAAACGTCGCCAGCGCAGGATGGAGTCAATTGTTTCTAGCAAATTCTACCCGTCTGACCACCTGCTACCGCGGCTCATTCCGTACAAAGCTCTCACATTTTCCCATCTAAGTGGTTAGCGTGTTGTCGGATAACAGCAAGCTGGGAATCGCTACTTATGGAATGTCCAAAGGCTCGGAGAGTCTCACCGGTCATGTAGGAGAGACATGAAATCGGGAAAGGCTGAGCACGGAGGAGTGCTGTCATTTCCAGCGCGCAGGAACTAATTGCTGATGCTTGTCCTTTAGGACCAACAGGAAGTGTAGGAAGAACTGCAGCCACCGCTTTCCCCCTGGCTCACCCACTGTCGAATCGCGGCTATATTTCCCGACGTTTGTTTTGTGCTCTCCGGCATTGCTGCAGCGGCTACCGCCGCTGACACGGTATCCGGAAGTTTACGGACTCGGGTGGCGCGTAAGGTCTGGGCATGTGAGTCGTGAGCGCGCATGTGATCCAGAGAAGACTGGACCGGTACAGGTGGAAGAATTTTCTGATTACCAACCTGTGTTAACGCCTGCTTAACACGGTTGCTTAGGCCTTGGTCCGCCATAAACCCGGACGATACAGTTAACTCATTTGCTGTAGCCTGAACCAGCTCCGATGGTACGGGAACGCTGGCGACGCAGGTGTGGGGGTGTTACTGCACATCTCTCGAGATCATTGATGCGCTAGTGTGGCCGAGATTAGCAGAACTCGCCGCCATAGTCACGTCGAGATGCTGCGGATTCACCTCGTCGGGATCAAGGGGGCACGTCGTAGGCATGTCCGATGGTACCAGTACATGTGTTACGGTCTTAGAAGGCAGAAACCAGAAGTTGGCGTGCTTACCACGCCAGCTTGGCTTCTGCTGCGACGAGAAAAAGACGTCGAGAGGCGATAAATTGTCTAGCGGCTGCGCTCCCTAATTTTGTTCAGCTATCTCAGCCGGCCTCTGGAGTGGTGGTAAATCAGGTCGATGGAAGTCAGCCTCGATCGCGGGCTGCTTCTTTGGTTTAATCTTTGCCAAGAGGCGTTGCAATGTCTTCAGTAAAGTCGAGGCTTTTGTAACTTCATCATTAGTTCGGGTGGCTGCCGTTTCGGTCGCGCGGTATTCGTATTCTAAAGTAGGAAAAGAGTAATTCCTGTAATCGAAAGCAGGTGCCTCTTCACCTGGGGTCTCTTTTAGGGCAATAATTACCTCCAGCGCATAAGCATGAGCCGCAAAGTAGCAAGAAATTTTCGAGTCGGCAATGCGCTGCTCCTCGGCTGCCTTGGTCGACAGCATATCGACCTACCGTTGTGTGTCATCAACCTGCACTTGAGCGAGTGCCAGCTCCGTAGCGACTAAGGAGACGATGGGGTCGGAGTCCACACCACTTGTATCCGTGGTTGCTTCCGCCACTGCAATTTTCTTGTCAACTCCGAGCAGTTCGTCAAGTTCGTGAAGCGCCTTTGCGCGACGCTGAGCCGCCTGTGATGAGCGAGTAGGAGACTTGGCTTTTGCAGTCGAGGGCGAACGTCCAGCCGTATACCCCTTCATCGTTTTTGGTATGATTAGGTTGTGCTCGCCCTGAACTGATTTCTTTGAGGTCTTCTCGGCGAGCGAAGTCGCCACTTGAGAGGAGGATGTCCGGCTCCTTGTTCTGGCTGCGCCTTAGGGTGTCAATATGGTCAAGCTGCATGGTCAGACGGCTTACTGATAAACGCGATGGACGATGGACTTATGGGGCCGCACTCGTGCTCGAGCCGCTCTTTTTCTTGGTTGGTACGAAGTTCCAACAATTCATCGGCCAAAGAACGGCGGGACGTGAGCTAATGCCGCTTGCTGCTTGCTGACCAATGGGTGAGGAGGCAGAGGTGGTCTCCTAATGGCTGGCACGCAAGCCTTTTGACGAAAAAACACGGCTAAAGCGGGGACTTGCGCGCGTCTGCCCTCAGCCTGGCCGTTCGCGCAGTTAGTTTCGCTGCCAGGCCAATGACGTGCTGTAAGTGCCCGTGCACGCTGACCCGGTTGGCAGCACGGTGGAAACAGGTGAACTCGCGGTGATGTTCGTAGAGTGCAGTTCCTGGGCGGGCCACGCATTTTGCACTGGAATATTAAGGCGAGTAACATGAGAAACATGGAATCCGTTAAAAATGCTAGTGATGGTGGAGGAACATCGACGTATCGGTGGTCGCAATGTGGTTTACCACTTTGAGCTTCGAGGGACTTGTAATGTGTCGATAGTTGCCACGAAGAAATTGAAGTCATACGCCTCCGACTCGCTCGAGTCACAGATGTCACTGCACAGGACGCACTCGACGATAAAAGGACCTGGATATTGATGCACGCAGCTCCATTGTCGGTAATTATAACTTGGTAATTCAAAAGAGTGCGTCCGACTGGCGTAGCTGAGGACGACGCAGCAGAAATGCCCAATCGTTTCAAAGTAGCAGGACATAATAGTTGAAGACGGGAACCCCAAAACAAAATAGATTTTGCATACCAACTCGCTGCTGCCGCTTGATCCGTCAGGACGAAGGTGAGGCGTCAAGTTCGGCGTCACAGCTAGTACGCTTAGCTTTCTTGACCAGTTCGCGACTTATGGGGTCTGGTTTCGTTTCCCCCTCATGGCGCCTAAGGATTCGTAAAAGCAGCGTCTTCTCATCGATATGTTGGGGTATGCGCACGAACGGTGGTACAGCCGCAACGACTGTTCCTTCCAAGTAGGCCTAAAAAAAACAGAGCATCGCGACCCGCGTCGCCCACGGGTGTGTACACACCAGGGAACCAGGCGGTGGCTGTAGGAAAACACTACCCATCACCCAGGCCGCCAACTCTTATGTGGTATCATCGGGCACAGAATATCGTCCACTTCTTTTTTTGATCCACGAACTCGTCGCTGTACAAACCACCATTTACTGCCGTCGTGAAAGGGTCCGTTGGTAACGCCGTAGGCGTCGCTTACTTCAGTAGGTGCGTTTCTACTCAGCGAGTGACCGACAGCTCTGGCAGGTGCGTCGTTATTCGACAAGGTTGCGCCAGCACCGTAAAGATTGCCGTTAAGTGCACCGGTACATAGCAAGGCGGCGCACTCACCGTTACGTGAGCCATCACTCGGCTAGCAAAAGACGTCACCGCTTTGTCCTAAAGGTGCTGGCGAATATACATCAGCGTCATTGGTGCAATTCTCTGAAGTATGCTCGGAAGAGTCATTGACGGTGCACGAAGAGTAATTTTCCCGCTATTGAAATTGCGAGCGCCGAGGCCGGTCACTGCAGATGCATACAGACCCAACCAGCCTCCGCCTAAAGTACGGAATTCGGCACGCCTGCTGTCTCGGTTCGCAGTGGTGCGCCCGCTTTTCCAGCGGCGATTATCCCTAGCCACCCTTAGGACGATCCGGATCGTGATCCTAGTGCACGCGCGCATAGGACGAGCTCTTCGGTATAGAGACCCGTTAGGCATCTCTCCGCCAATCGAAGAGATCATGGGTTGTTGTCACCCTTCCCCGTGCCTTGTTGTTTGTTTGCGTATTCGAGTGAAAATTTGGTAGTCGAAATTTCCCAACGTCAGCAAGGCATTTTCACCCGACGTCTTCTGTCTATCTCAAACGACAGTGAGCTCTGGCATAGCTCACCATAGGGCGTAGTTGATGCGTTTCGACACTTCATTCGTAGACAATGAGCATGGATGTGTCATGGCAACCCCGCAAAGACGTTTCTGGCGACAAATGGTCAGCACATGTAAAGTACACAATGGAACACAAAAGCCTGTACGTCGTCAGCTTGTCATCGAATGTAGACTCACTATGAAGATACAATCAGTGCTGTCAGGCATCCAACTAACAGGCATTTGTCTTTATTGACTCGCGAGGCATACATTTTCGACTTTGTTACAGGTACTTGTTTCCGTTGCTTTCGCAGAAATAAGAATGAAGGAGCGTACTGCTATAACAACCGACTCACCTACAGCTCGATTTAATTTGGCAAATGCTAAGCGACTGGTGTAACGGGGCACCCTGAAGCTTGTACTGGTGACAGTACAAGCTACTTATTCTGATGACAGAATAAGGCGGTGCCTCGTAACTTCACGTACACTGGTACGTGCAGAGGAAGACGGTAAGAAGAAGCGAGTACTTGGTTAGAGTAAAAAGTAGAACTGAATTTATAATAGTTAATGTCTGCAATAAATCACTATTTATCTTCATCTAACTATGTCTAAATACAAATGTGTAAATCAGTTATCTGCTCACCACTTATTGCGTGCGTCTGTCGTGGCGCGTCTTCGTTGGTTGATATAATGGCCTACATCAACCAATTAGGAACTACTCGTAAGTGCTACAGAATATTTGTCCTTATGACAATATTTTGAGAATACAACTCTTATAGTTATATTCTATTAACAATTTCTTATATATTGTTATGTAACGATTCACCCCGTTACATCACCCCCCCTTAACCATCAGTCACTTTAGTGACTGATTGACTAAATGGATACTCGTCCCAAATCATTTGGGATAGAGTTTGCACTTGTTGGTCCGAGTCCACTTCCCAACATCTCATCGCATGGTTAACAAGCCCACGCGATGCGCGAGCAAGGCCGCCGAGAGCGCGTCTGCACGTCTCTGTGCGGACGCCGAAGCAGAAACCACAGCAACTGATGTCCCATCGGTTGCTGAAGCGACCCAGCCTGTGTCACTTGGTGATGCAGGCGCTGGTCATGAAGACACTCATGTCTTCACAGAGTACGAGCTCGGTGTCTCGTACTCTCCTGATACGGAAGACGGATCCGTATCGACGGCGATTGAATCCAAGCCGCCTGCCAAGCGTGGCATGGACGATGCTTTGCGTCGCAGCATCTTTGGTTCATCTGATGAATCAGATGAACCATCGCCGAAGCGTAGGCGCTCGAGGTCGCGAGACTCGGGCGATAACAGGGGTGTCGGTTCTCCTATGGACACCACTTCGCAACAAGGTGCCAGTACTTCTGTCGGCACATCGCAAAAAGGGCGGGACCGCAATGTCTTGTGTCTCGCTTCTGAGAAGAAGGCATGGATGCCTCCCAAATCAATCATGGATCACTTGTCAGCGACGACGAGTGATCGTTATCGAACACGATTGTTCGATTCGTCAAGAATCCATCACCTTGACCCCAGCGCGAAAAACTATCGCGCTGAGAATGATTTCTTCATCGATGCTTTCTTTAGACATCGATGGTACAGTGGGAATCACAAGCGTGATGGTCCCTCACTACTTCAGACGTGGAACGCTTACATCCATAACCTTGAGGATGTAGGTCGTGACGCTTGGAACGACAAACTTATCAAAGCTCGTGATAAGTTTGAAAAGCGAACCCCGACAGGTGCAAGCTACAAGCTGCATCGTCTATCAAGGGAGAAAGGATTACCCTGCCTCTCATGGGGAGACTCGTGCCCATGTTGTGTGAACAACTCTGCACGAGCACCTAAGGAGGCTTACCTCCTTACCAGCCCGTGGTGGCGCGTACGTATCTCTACTGAGATGTGCGAAGGGATTGACAACCTGAAATCCCTTTACGACCGTGCCGGGAAGGCTTTCTCCGGCGGTCCTTCTGCGGCACAGGATGTGCCGCGTCGTACTGCTCAACCAGACCCAGTACGTCAACCATCAGTTGGGAGCGGGGCTCCCAAGTATCCCAGGACGGGGGATAGCCGCGCCACCGGACGAGATAACTCTTCCGACGTCCGTTCATATCGCGGTGGCTCAACAGCTGCTCAACTAGATTGCGCTGGCCACCGCGAGAGTCCTCTAATGGAGGTGGAGGAGGAGGGAAGACGCTCTCCACACGATCATGGGGATCCGTGTGTTCCCGAGAGCTTCTTTGATCGCGTAACGCAAGGGTTACGCGGCGATCTCGAACATGAGCGGGACAGGCGTCTCCAAATGGCGGACGCTGTCTTGAAGCATCGAGCTGAGTTTGCCTTTGCTCAGCTTGAGAACGAGAGAGCTCTGACATCTCTTCGTGACGAGCTAAGGGTAGCTCGTGGGATTGTTGATCGGTCTCGGGATGAGATAGCTGCTCTTCAGACCCTTGTTGATGCCCACCATCGGGAGCACAAGGCTCTCTGCGAGATGCTTGAGCGCAAGGGCGTTCTTCATCGGAAGAAGCAGCGTACTGATGGTACGGCTTAAGCCGACCAACGTAAAACGTGGGATGCGTTCGCATCTTACGTGGTAACTCGATCGTGTATGCATTGCCTAGGCGGTGCAATACACGAAATGGGCCGATGTACTTGGGTAGTAGTTTACTGCTACCCACGTTAGTCACTACATGCTTTGGTAGATTAACCGTAGACAGTAGGACTAAGTCACCTTTATTAAATAAAAGAGTGTTTGCCCTTCCATTCTTATCAGCGTTTTGCTTTTGCTTATCCACCGCTTCGGCGATGGAGTCTTGCACAAAACGGACTACCGTTTCACGAGCCAGTATGAACTCATCTGATGACTCGTTAGCTTCAGTGCGCTGTGATTGCACTGCAGCAACATCAACCTTTTCTTCAGTGAGGGCTTCCGCACTTT